ATGTAACAAAATCACTACAGTGACCTCTTGGTCTAAAAAAATTTATTGTAAAAAGATGTGTTAAATTATGAGCGTATCATGAAATTGTTTTCGAGAAGCGGGGAGGGGGGGGATTAATCAAGTCAACTTAGGGATGTATCATGCCAATCAAAATGACAAAAAAGGATTTTACTGTTGTACTGAAGAGAACGTCACTGCACCATTTTGTTATTATAATTTTTAATATTAATGAATTCCGTTTGGATATTTTTACAACTTTTAATGTTTGCTCGTATCTCATTTTGAAGAAGAAGAATGTTTTGTACATCATAATTTTTATTTATTTTTTTAAAAAAGGATAATACAGTTACTACAAGAATTATAACGTATTGTTTTTCGTGACAAAAATCTTACGAAAATTTTTTATTTCTATTTCTCACATATTCTGTCAAACTAACAGAAATATTAAAAAAAATTACTTAATATAAAATTACTTTTATAACGAGAAGAAAAAAAATTTTATGTAAAAAACTTACACAAATTCAAAATTGTAAATGTTTTTTATATTTAAAATGAAAGAAAGGATATAATCTCAAATAAATTAATTTAATATAAAAACATATAATGTATTATTTGAAACATCCAATTTTGATTGATCTTGGCTTTTTCTATCGTATTTGATGAAAGAAAAGAATTCGATAGAATATGTACATCATCAATTCAAAATAAAATATTCTCACTAATAAAGTAGTGAAAAATTATAGACACCAACCGATATGAGTGGATATATACTATCAGAATATGCGCTAACGGGACCGTCTCAAAATGAAATTTAAAAATTTCGGAGGAGTTTGACTCCTCACCCCCAACCCCTCCCCCCTGGATACGTCCATGTGTTAAGCGTACAGTCGTTCCTTCATTGCAATTCACTTGCATATATGCGCATTTTGTGTTTCTCCGATACGTAAGAAAATTCATCACCCTTGTTTACAACACACGCATCGTCATGGCGATGCGTTGGGCAACGTATAAATAAGTGCGTTTGTGGTATCTACACGTCAATGCATGTAAGTTTGTCGACCAGTTCAATACCCCATTTATGTTATATTTTTTTATAATCATACGACATACGTAATACGTCAAACGAATATGGCAGGGAAGAATTTACATGACAAAAAATGCGATTTCAATCAAAATTTGATCGAACCGTCTCGTCCGTTCGAACAGTGCAACATGATAAATAAATTGGAAAAAGATAACAATATTGAAATCATGGAATGTAATCCAATGGATTTACTGGCCGTCGATGACAATCTGGAGTCAATAATGTGCAAATATTCGGAACAAGTGAGCAATAAAATTTAATTTTCTAAATTTAATAAACATCAACTAATAATAACATAACTATTGGTTATAATTTCCCACTCAACAACATAACTGTAATATAATACATGTTGTATGTATGTAATAGTTGATATTGTTGAATGAGAAACTATAATTAACAGTTATGTTACTATCAGTTTGGTATTTGCTGGGAAGTTAATTTTTAAGAATAAAGTCTCTGATTTATTTAAGGATATGTCACTATTTACAAATACAATAGTTCTGTTCTATTATTAAAAATCAAATATAACTAAATAAGCGCAGATCGAACCTGAAAAAGACGCTACAAACAAATATGGATCAATAGCAACAACTTACGAAGATATAATGTCCTTCCTGGGAACGTTAGAAAATGGTATATACTAATGTTTAATAGATCAGTATCGTTAAAATTGTATTTAAAATTGAGAGTTCTGCTTATTTGATTTATAAAATAAGCTAAGCTTTATGTAATATTTTTATTATAGAAGATATGTTAGAAAATGATATCCCTGCCAATAATGCAACAATTATAATCTCGTCTTGCCAAAATTCTAGTAGGTAGGCAACTGACTTTCTCTAATAGCTTATAAGCGAAATATCACGTTAAAAAGCAGACAAAAATTTTATAAGAACTGCTTTTTTTATAGACATGGTGTGCAGAATTTTGGCTCGATTCAACGGGATGATTTAGAAACTGCGAAATTACAAATTGAGGAAAGAAATGCGACAATAGAGTGTTTGAAAGAGCATCTAAAATCCGAACGCAAGGCAGCATGTGACAAAATGGCATCGCAGAAACGTCATCACATTATCAAGATGAAGGAGTTGGAAAATAAGTACAGAACGATTGTGAAACGCCATCAGAAGTTTATCGAACAGCTACTCGCTGAGAAGACAGATCTTACGCAGAAATGTGACTCTCTGGCGCAACAAATTAAAGAGATGGAACAAAAGATCCAACGAGATCTGAAAGTAATTACCGATAGACACGCTGTTGAGTTGCAACGCGCAAAAGAACACATAGCAGCATCCGAGAAAATCCGGCGCGAAAAATGGTTGGAGGTGAAAACATCGAAAATCAAGGTTATCATCATTAATTCATGCCAATTACTATTAGCAAATATAATATTTCTTTATTCACATACACAAGGGCTCGCTTTTGATTTTGAAATTAGAAATGTAATTCTTTCATTTCTTTATAATATTCAAAATATTCCATAGACATAACAATGTAAATAAAATTTTATACAATATAATGAAATTATACAGTGACAAATAATTAAAATTTACGCATTGGTTACTGATATCATAGGAAATGACAGTAAAAGGGCTGGAACCAGAATTGAACAATATGATGGAGCAACATCAACAAGAGATACAAGAATTAAGATGTGCTCATATAAAGGAGTTACAAGATACGGAATTGCGCGCGATGCGTAGGTCGAATCAACAGCTGGAGCAATTGCGAATCGAGTTGACGGACAGCCACGAGAAAATGTTGGTTAAAGAGAAGAACATATTGGCTATAAGGTATGGGAATTCTGCCGCTTTAATTAATTTTAATATCATTTTAGTTAAGTCTATATAAATCGTAATTAACTAGGTATAAAGAAAATTTGGAAGAGCAAGAAGCGCACTTTCAGATACAACAGAAAACATTCGCAGAGCATTTTGAAGGAGAAAAATCGATGCTCATTGCAGAGCAAAAAAAACGTGATCGGGAAACAAGCATGATGATACAACGAACGGAATTACATTTTCAAGTCCATTTTACATAAAATTTTACAATAAAATTATTCTATTATTGACAAAAAAAACTTAATCATTTAACAGTGATTTATATTATTGAACTTTTCTTTGCAGAAAGAAGCGGAAAAATTAAAAGAGCAACACGAAATTGCTAAAAGGAATTTTGAGGAAACCTTGAGAAAAGAATGGCTCGCATGGGCGGATAATTATAAAAAAGAACAAAGCGCGATTGTCACAAGAGCGGAGGCTGCAATTCGTAACGATTGTCAAAAGGAAAGAGATAAGCAAATAGAAATCGTTATAGTTAGATTGGAAAAAGAATCTCGTGAAATGCGAACTAAATTGCAGCAAAGTTTTGATAATAAATTGGAGTAAGTTTACATATCTTTTCTCAAAATATAGAAATATAAAAATATAGAAATATATAAATATAGAAATATAAAGAAACAATTGTCACAATTTAATTATTGAAATTGTTTTCAGGCTAATAAATAAAAATTACGAAGCAAAATTACAAGCTGCAATTAAAAGCGAAGATATTTATAAAAATAAGTGTTTATTATTGGAAGAAAGACTCAAATGTACAGAAATTCAGTTTAAAAAAACAGAAAATAAATTAAAAGAATGCATATCGAATCTCAATAATATGAATAAAGTAAATTTTATGAAAATAACTGATTAGTTAGATATAATAATCGTTGTTAAATTGATGATTTGTTAATTTATAGATAATCGTAAAGTTAACTGTAGAGAGAGATGATGCAAAGGAGACAGCAAGACAGGAAATTGAGACAGAGAAAAAAGAATTAAAAGATAAAATCGCATCGCTTTATCGAGAAATAAGACAAAATAATGTTAACAAAGATCAACTTATGGCACAATTACATAGCAGGTAAAAATTAATATCTAATAGTGCAATAATAAGAACTTAATACATTAATAATATAAGTTCGTGTCAATTTTTTTATAACAAATTTGTCGCGATAAGCGACTAAGACTCGGGTGCAACTTACTTTAATTTTAAGCAAGGCTTTCTCTGTTCCTGTCTTTTTTCGGTTTTAACGTTTTAAATCTCGCTTAAAGTCAAAGTAACGCTGATGCAATCAGTCCTAAGTCTAATACTATAAATTAATATACTAATTTGCAAAAAATCAGTCACTGTAATGTTGTAGTAATTAGTTTTTTGTGAATGAGTATATGTCATAATGTACATAACGATATATTGTAGATCTTATGAATATGACGTTTTATTTTAGGATAAAATTTGTAGTCACTCAAAAGGTTTTAATCATAAAGAATCTCAATAAAAAACTAGATGACGTTAATTCAAGATGTGAACATTTGGAAAAATTGCTGGATCAACAAAGGAAAGAATATATTTTGAAAACTTTGTAAATTTAATTTAGAAAATTGTATATGTGTATATGTATATGTACATGTTGTTTCTCAGCAAACAAATTGATGTTATTGTCTAATAATTGTACTGAATATCTGTAAATAAATTTATTATTAAAAAATATTATCTCGGTCGGGAGTCGAATCCGAAACTCTAGCATTCCGTAGCGACCTAAATCTGTAAAGGGATCCTAAAATAAGGATCTGAGCACAAGAATTGTCGTAACACTTACTTAGACTTAAATTGTCGACGTAAGTAACACACAAACTTTCACATATGACGTATAACTTATTGCCATGTCTCCAAGAGATGGCAATAAATCATACGTCATACGCCAAAGCTTGTGCGTTACTTACATCTATAACTTAAGTCTCTAAAGTAAGTGTTACGACAATTCTTGTGCTCAGACCTTAAAGCTCGAACTCCGACGAAGTTATCAGAGGTCGCTATTTTTCCAGCACACAATGTATGTCGGACAAATGGTTTCTCCTTCTAGCGGTGAAAAAATTTCCTATCTTCAAATTCTCCTTCGACATATCAATTCGATATGACCAAAAAAAAAAGTTGATGTATCAAAATGAGCAGCAAAAAAACTATTTCATTGCTGCAATAACAAATACAAAACAGAATTCAAGCATAATAAATTTTCACACTTTTGTATTCAACTTTTATTTATATTTATATCACATTTTTCTCAACACATGACATCACAGCAAACGAGAATGGATTAAAATGGATTAAAATTTTTTTAATACGTACTTTAAATCCATGAAAATGGTTTGAATGGATTGAAATGGATTGGATCCGATCTGATAGTTTAATATTCGAAAAAAAAATACATTCCTATTTAAGGGTTACAAATTTTATTCCTAAGACATTTATAATAATTATACCTGAAATTAATTTAAATTGGTATTAAAAAATATCTTAGTGGGATTCTTAGTGAGAATCTGGGATCTCTGGATTATGAATCTTTTACGTTATATTACACTATTTTTTTAATTGATAAATGTGTTCATTCTTTATTTCAATTACAACCAGCTAAACTATTAATGAAATTATATAAATATAATGAAAATATTATCATTTGACAAATATAATAAAATATAAACAATTTACATTACTATGAGATTACATTGAGTGAGTGTCGATAAACTAACCTCGCCGTGATTAGTCTAATATTCGGGCTGTGTTCGATTTGGTTTGCGAGTGTTACATCAATTATTCATTGTACTTCTAATCAAAGAGAAACAAAAGAACATAGCTCAATTATTTTTATGTTACAATTTTTTTGAACTTAATTGGATTAAAACGAAAAATTTCCTACTTATAGTGTTGAATTATTTAAATAGCATTTATGGTTCATTTTTAAATAAAAAAATTTTTTTTATTCAATTAGATTGAAAAACTGCATTTCATATTCAGAATATTGAATTGAGCAGTATTCACATTGCACAGATATTATTTTTGAATTTAACTAAATTTAAAAAAATTGTATTTCCTATTCACAATTCTGAATTGAGTAATATTTACGATGCACAGAAAGTGCTAATATTATTTTTAGATTGAAAGGCATAAAGATGTGCTCTATGCATTCCTATAAATGAATAAAAATGCATTCAAGATTGAAAAAAATTCATTTTAACATTCATGAATCCGTATTTCTGAAAATCTGAATTCATTTAATTTATTTCAATCCATTCTCATACAGTACCGATTGTTGCGAAAATTTTCAGAAATGTTTCAACCTTTCACATCTCATGTGCAATAATTTTGAAAGGATTCTGCAATATGTCATATAAAATGTTTAAACAGAAATATTTCTAAAATCTATGAACGCAATAAATTTAAAAACATATTTAAAAAGAACAAAAAATTATTATGATGTTAAAATGGTTCCAAAATATTTATTAAAAATCATTTTTTATTAATCACAATTCAGTTTAATGTCACTTTGTTATCGTGAATTGTTTTATTTTAATTGCGAAAAACTTTTGTATATAAATGACTTATTTTGCTTTAATTGTCAAAAACTTTTGTATATGAATAATAGTATTATGGTATGTGGAACCTAGGGATATTTATTGTTATTTGATAATATCAAATATTCGATATTTTTTGTTATTAAATATAAAAATATCGAATAAGAAATTATGAATAAAATATTGACTAAATATTTTTTTATTATTCATATTCACTTTCCATTTTTAATACTTTTTTTGAGTGCATTCGGTAGATCGGTACTACCAGAGAGAAACCTGAGAGAAGATCTAAGACGGCCCAAAACTTGTAACCGCAAAATGCTGCCGCGCACTACCCTTTGACAAAATGGATGTAAACTATGTAGCAATGTCTACTTTTTTTAGGGTGCATCACTCATTTTTCAAGGCTGAAGATGATAAATTGATATTTGCTACATATAGCGGTGGGTCGTTCCACGAATTTGCGCGGCGCGGCTTCACTGCACATTGACTTATATGTTTGCTTTTAATTCGAAAATTACAGCGAATATATCTCAAAATGGTATCAGACTTTTTTGTTCCCCTTGACTCATTCTACGTCCCCAATGCCGCTCCTATCTTATTTCTGAGACACAAGCAAAATATGGCACTCCCATGAGCTCTTCATTATCTCCCGTTGTTGTTGATCTGATCATCCGAAATTTGGAAAGTAAAGCCATGTCTTTGATTCGTTCACCGCTACTATTTTATGATAGATATGTAGATGACGATATAATTATGGCGATACCACTTTGATTAATTCGATTCTCGACATTTTTAACTCTCAGCATTCGAGGATTTCAGTTTACTATGGAGATCGATAACGATTTTAGAGTTAAACTTTTTGGATATTATTTTAATTATTAATAATGATAAAATCAAATTTGATTGGTACATAAATTAAGTTAGTTTTCGGGGAGGTATTTGAATTTCTTGTCTTATCGCCCGATTTCTCAAAAGAAGGGCACGATTGCCGGTTGGGTAGATAGAGTAATTTTACTTTTGAATCCTAAATATCATCTTGATAATTTTTGTTTTATAATTAAAAGTTAGAGAATGATTATCCATTAGAATTCATTTTTGATAGTATTAGTAAACAATTAAAAAATATTATTAATTTTAAGAGAAAGAAACAGGATAATGATAATATCGAAAACGCGGAGTCTTTATGGTTTACTGTTTCTTACGTTCCGATGTTTTCCGAAAAATTCAATAGATTAAACAACGAGGATTTATTAACACTATAAAATGATATTAGAATATCATTTTATAGTGTTAATAAGTTGAATTCATCAAGATATCATACATAAGAATCCCCTTCCGTATGAAAAGAAATCTAATATGGTATACAAGATCTGTTGCAAAGATAGCGATACTATGTGAGACAAATAGGAAGACACTGAAGAAAATAGCTGAGCACAGGAATCATATTCGGTGGAACACAACCACACATTCATCATAATAGACCACTAATTGGAAGAGGGCCACGATTGAAAAAATATTGCAGTTTTGAATGAGGAACCCCAGTATTAGAAAGTATTAGTATCAAAGATGCTACACATCAGAAGACAGACACGTGGCCTCAACCTGCAGACAGGAGAGGCTTTCCAAGACCTACTTTCCAATTGTAGACGAACTGTAAATATCGGAGCGTTGTTATTGCCAGCTAATCAGTGTACATTCTTTGTTACATTAAGATTAAATTATTAAAGATTCAATTTTGGTTTTAATGTCCAACTGAACTATAAATATAATATCAGAATTTTTTTTCTTCTTTTTTCCTTTTTTTTTAATTAATTAACGTTTTAAGTATTATTTATTTATTAAAAGTTATTCATTAATTTCAACATAATTGACTGATTCGCTGAATGGTCAATGACTGATTTTTGACTAAACCGATAGAATTTACGTGTTTGCGATATGAATTATTTTAGTGACCTACCTTCTATTATTTCACAATAAATCGCTTTTGCTTTCAACAAATTTACCTTTTAATAATTTTAATACATTTTAGATAATTGTTATTAGAGTTCGTTTTTACATTATAATTTCTGTTAATAGATGGAGGTGGCTCACTGAAATGAATTAGTTTGTAAAAAAAATTTTTGTAATTACAATATCATATTGTCTCTGAGGATGACTCAAAAGTGAACTGAAACATGTAAGCAGATTAATTATTAATATTAAAGTTATTTTGTTAATCGCATTGGTTTGCACAAGAATTGCCGTGTTTGACTCCTATTGCCTTGTTATATTCAACCATTTTATATATAGTTCTTATGCATTCGAAATGAATAGATAGACATATCAAATATATTGCACATATATTTGAGTTTTAAAATATCTAAATATGTAGTCGATATTTTTGCTCGATATTGACATGTCTAATGGAAATTAAAAGATGAGTGATTTTTTTAAGTGATTATGTGCTTATACATATAATATGATTAGTTAATCAAATTTAAATAGTTGGCAGTATAATTATCATTTTTTTGAGAAATTCTTTAGTAAGTTTAATTCAAGTTTAATTCAAGTTTTGTAATCTGTAAACAGATCATAAAACTCTTAACAAATTTTAAGAACTTCAGAAATTAAAAGAACTTCAGATATTTAAATATGTGTTTAATTAATACTTAAATAATATTTAAATTATATGTCGTAATAAATTTAAGTATTACTTAAATGTATCAATCAAGTATATATTTACTCACTGTATAGGTTTTTTTAGTATCCATTAAGTGTATACAGAAGTCATCATGTCCAATGTATTTTTTAAAATGGATTAAGTGATTTAAAAAATATTAAAAAATTTATGTAGCTTTCTTAACTACTCTGAAGGATTTACATAAATTTAACAATTTCTTGTTTAAATATTTTATTTTTGCAAATATGTAAACACAAATGTGAGTATATTCAAAAATTTGTAACTTTTGATTAAATCAATGAAATCTAATAATTAAAAAAGAAAATAAAATTCAAAGTTCATATTTAAAAAAAAAATGCCAACAAATTTTTTAAATTTAAGTTAAGTTCGGGACATAAAGGCTGGATTCGCTTTGGTGCTTATAACGTGTTAAGCATCGTTTTATTCTTGTTATTTATTAAATATTAAACAAAGATAAATGATGTTCACAAGCGCTAAGTGCCAAAGCGAACGCAGCCAAAATCTTAGAATTTAGAAACCTATAAAAACAAGCATTCCTATGAGAAACTGATATTTAACTTTAAAAAATTCATTTTTTATTCAAAATCTGTAATCTCATACACTTTCGTAAATAAAAAAATACATACGGGATGACATTGTAAAAAAATGAACAAATCATTCTCTTATAATGTCTTCTCTTCTGCGGAGCGATTTGATTTTTTTATTCAAAGATAAACTGAATAAAAATTTTTTCATTATATGTGTTTTACTTATAAAAATAGTTAAAAAGCGCGAAAAAAATAATTTTTTTATTTATGTACTGAGTGTAAACTAGGATCGTTTATATCCTCGCTTGAATATCCGCTTTTTGAATATCTGCTGCTCAGCGAGAAAATGTCCATTGTTAGGCTTTCACGGATTTCTTTCCCACAAGTTTTTTTAGGAGCAGAACGGCGCCTGTACTTACTTGTATTCGAAATATTCAGAACTATAAAAATCGTCTGAACACAAATGATCCTCCCGTACACAGTGAGAGTTAAATATCATTTTTTAAGTACTAGAAATAGCTAAAATCTTTTTGTTCTTTAATATTTCAAAAAGATTACGGATTTTTTCTGCAACATTTCATCAAAAATTTCAATAAATTTCAATAAAGTTTCATGAATCGCGGACATTTTGCAATTTCAGAGCTGTCTCAGAAATGTTGCACATGTTTTTGCAATTTTTATGAAATGTTTCACTTTTCAGTTGAAAAATTTCCGAGATATTTCTGAAAATTTTCGATACTGTATGGGCTGGATAAGGATTTTCGAATCTGTGAAAGAGAAAAAAAGTATTTGTTATACAAAAAATATATCATTTAGTCGGTAATACAAACGATAAGATAGAATCTTTAAGGGGATCAAAGCCATTTGTATTATCAACTTAATCAATTAACTAAATCACATATACTTTTTATATAATTATATAATTTTATATACAAATAAACAAATATTTATTTTTCTTTTTTACAGATTCGAAAATCTTTTTCCAAAATTAAAGTAAACGTAATTAATATGTGTTGTGGAGTTTATACTGAAAACGATTAAAAATTTTTAAATTGATATATTTTGTACCATTTCTTAACCCTTAAATGCCACTGAGGGTCCAAAAGACCCCAAGGCTTTTTCAATCGTATATTTTATAATCCCGCTGTAAATCAAACTTCTGAAGCTTCTGGCTTCACTACTTTTTAATTTAGATCCTCAACTACCAGTTGAAAAATTCGTGGCAAGTCGGTCTTTGTATAGCAGCCGAGCAGAAATGACGCATTTCGAGGCGGGGTACAAAATACTCCAATGTATCATTTACGTTGTGAAAATTGAAGCGATTTTTTTATTCACGTTTTTGTGTAAATTTCATCATTTTAAATTGTAAATATTGAATTGTAAATATTACTGTGCGCGCTATAAAATTTTCTTAGTGTTGTAATTATAACTTTTTAGTAAGAGATGAGATGAGAGATTAGATGGAGTATAATTTGTAGGGATGTATCGGATCGTAAAATTATCGGATACCGAATATCGGATATCCGGACAGAATGTAACATCGGATATCCGGTATTAGCTCGGATATCTGAGAATTCGATTTCTTCGAGTTGGATATCCAACATTTTCCGGATACCCGACCGGATTCGGAGAAAATGGCTTCCAAAAAAAAAAATTCTTTAAAGAAAAAGATTGTAATTTTGCAACACTGTATAACATATTACAGCATCATAAATATGCATACTTGTTTCTGTTTGTATAAGAAAGAAAAAAATCAACAATTTAATGATATCAAATTCAACTGGATATATTCTCTACTAATATTATCCAACTATCTGATCAAATAGTAAAAAATGCCGGATAATATCAGATACCGGATACTTTCCAGCCGATGCATCCCTAATAATTTGCTTTCATGCCACAGGCCGATAGTAATAAGCATTGTGCAAGCATTTACTTTTGTGTCGAATGTTCTGAGCTAGAATAAAATAAATGTTTATATGTTTTTATACTTTTTGTAATATTTTTACTTTTGTAATTATGTGCCCAAAAATAAATGTGCCCTTTTTTATCAAATATATTAGGTCAAATAAATTTATTAATTGTGTTTTTTCTTCTCTAAAATTTCCCCATTCATTTCGCAAAATAAATACCTTTTTTTAGAATATCCAGTGTCGGATTTAACTTTAGCTAAAAAAATACTATCTCAGGAATACAACCCTAAATTTTTAACGAAAAATATTAAAAATTAAAACAAATATACGGTTTCCCAGCAAACGAGAATGAATTGAAATGAATTGAAATGGATTTAAATTTTCAGAAATATTGATTCACGAATGTTAAAATGAATGTTTTTCAATCCTGAATGCATTTTCATTCATTTATAGAAATTGCATGGAGCATATCTTTATGCCTTTCAATCTAAAAATAATATTAACTTTTTCTGTGCACACAACATATATTGTGAATACTGTTCAATTCAAAATTTGGAATAGGAAATGCAATTTTTCAATCCAATTGCATCCAATTGAATCTAATTGAATCCAATTAAATCCAAAAAAAGATATTCTAGTAAAAAAAGCTATTTAAAATACGCATTTGAATAGAAAAAAATTTCAATCCATTTTAATCCATTCTCGTTTGCTGGGAGGAACAAAGAAAATTTTAAGCCTCGCTTAAAATTAAAGTAACGTTAGTGCAATCGAGTCTTAGGCGCTTATCGCGATAAATTTGTTATACGAAAATTGACACGAACGTGCGATTCGTGTATCATAGGTTGCGTGAGATATTTCTTGTGTGATAGTTCTTTTTTTTTGGCTTTTGTTCCGTTAGTGTTCCTATCATAAGAGTTAAAACAATGTAATCGCACTTTTGATTGATTCCGAAATCCGCCATATGTAATAGTCAACCGCTAGCTTCAAATGAGTTGCAATAGCCAACACAACTGTGAGTTACAAGCAAATTGTAGAAAATCACATATTTGATGTTATCCTTCCTTTTTCGTCATTATCTAATGCTAGCAGTATAACATTTACATGAGGTTTGTTAAAGAATGTTATTCCTAACCATACCATGCTCATTTAATTGAAAGCTTAGCTACATATGTTTGACCTGTTACATTGTCTGTATTTATCATCTATAGCACCGACGAGATACTATTAAAAACAGGCGATTATGAAAATTTGTGTGCCTGTTAAAATTTAAGTGATTAAGGTCCGGTTTACATCAATATTATTTTGACTTCAAGTGAAACTCAAAACTCTCTCATTTTAAAGCGAAAAAGAGACAAAGAGAATTTTAACTCTCACTTAAAATCAAAGTAACATTGCAATCGGGCCTAAGAATAAAAAATTAATAATATGGTATTAATTTCATGATTTATTAATTTCGTAGACATATATATATGTTTAAAACTTAATAATACTCTTAATAATACTTTTTATTTAAAACTGTGATTTTAATGTTATCATCCGAGTTTATCAATAGAGATGGTAACTGCAGAGAAAAAAATTATAATTTTTCAGCAATATATAAGATATTATAGCATTAAAAGTATGCATACTTATTTATATACCTTTTTATAATAAAAAATCACAAATTTAATAATGTATTATCAAAATATGTTAAGCATAAATTTTTATTAATTGTCGGTAACGTCATTGTACTTTCTTCAATTATTCCCGGGCCCCATTAAAGAAATCTTAAAATCTCCTGTTTTACCACGTAAGCATATATAATTTTTGTATAAGAAATATTTTTTTTCTCTTTCACCGATTCGAAAATCCTTTTCCAGAATTAAAATATACGCATTAATACGTGTCTGTGAAGTTTATGCCGAGATCGATCAAAACTTTTAAAATTGATATATATATTATATTTTTTTACCATTTCTTAGGCTGCGTTCCGTTTCGTTTGCATTTCGTTTCAGTGCAGTATCCAGTAGTCGTCATTTTGTTGGGTACTGTACTAGAGAAGCGTTCCCAAACTAGTGACTAGTGAGTTATACTCGCACGCATATTGGCTCATAACCTAAAACTGTTCCAAGGTACGATGTCACTAGCCAGTATCCAATCATTTGGAAACGCTTCTCCAGTACAGTATCCAGCAAAATGGCAATTACTGAATACTGCACTGAAACGAAATGGGAACGCAGTCTTGTATATAACATGGCATCTCAATTATCAAATCGTGACAATATTTGATATGAAAGTTTTGCAATCTGTACATATGAAATAGTGATTCCCAGACATGTAGTTTACACGAACAAGGTCGAGTTCTTAGAATTAGACACTTTATCGCGACGAATTTGTTATACGAAAATTGATACATATGTGTGACTGCGTGCATTATAGATTGCTGTGAATAGATATTGCTATGGTAGTATAAAAAGACATGTCGATGTGCGGCGCGCAGCGCAACTTCTGGTAATCTCGTCGGAGTTCAAGCTTTGAAATCCTATAACTTTTGTATGAAATTTTTTTCAAAAATGCTTATTCAAGATATTTAAGAGGTTCGAGACTTGTACACGCCTCCCTCCCTCTCTCTCATTCAAGACATTTAAATGATAAAATATAAATCTGATTATTATTTTATATACAGTTTCACATGTGAAACCAAATGCATTTATAATGTTGATGAAGATATAAGATTTAACCACAATTTTTCATCATTTATGTTGTATCTGCATCTTCTCATCGATCAAATAGCGATTTAAATCATGTATTATATGATTGTATATATAATTTATAATTAATTAAAATTTTATAATTAATTAAAATTTTATAATTAATTAAAATGGTCTTTTTAAATATATCATTAATCTCATTAGTTAAGTTTATTTGTGCTGCCAATAAACGACTGTGCAAGAAAAACAATATCACACTTTCTTCACAATTTGCACAACATCCTCGTCACAAAGAAGATGGTCCTTCCCTACCTTCTGGGGTTGATGTTTTACGGATGAGCCCCATACCAATGCGCTGCAACATAAAAAGAGTAAATATTTAATAATAAAAAAATCCCCAAAACTAATGATGAAATATGAAAGACATACTATTTAAATTCTTTTGCGATTGATCTATGAAGCTTATTACAAAAATCTTCAACAGTTCGCTTTTCGGTGTTTAGTACTACGGGTGCGTTGTAGTCTGGGAGTTGTCCCTTCGGCTTTGTATAACTATTTTAAAAATTAAAATTATATTGTTTTAATAAAATTCTATCAAATTAGCTTATATAACGAGATAAATTATAAACTTACATCCTAACAAGTTGTAGATAATCCCACATTTTCTCTAATAGATCATCAAAATTCCATTTATGATGGGCTGAGATTGGCACACAATGTGGAATTTTATAAATAATATCTAGTTCTTCTATGCTTATTTGATCTACAAGAGAATTCCTCATTGTTATCAATATTTCTTATTATACAGTATTCTTATTATACAGTATTATAGTACTTATACAGTACTTATTATACAGTACTATACTTATCATGTTACACACAATTACCTATTTTATTTAAGAGATAAATGCAAGGGATATAAACGCGATTCCCTTCTATAACGTCAATCAAATCGTCTGAGGTAGCATCGTACCTTAGTGTAATGTCCGCATTACTAATTTTGTATTCTGACAAGATCATTTTCACTGTGTCAAAATCTAGTTCAGATTGTGGGCACTGAAACACAAAAACGTAATAACCTTTAATATCAATATTTGGTGTATTGATTATCAATGTTAATCAGGTAGTGTGTGATTCCGAGCAAGAGCAATCAACTCATAGTTGATGGATCCTAAGTTGAATTCCGAAATCTCATCCTGTATATATTTTGTTTTATAAGAAACGAATTAAAAAATTGTAATAATCAAATAAGGAGCATACAGCCAAATGCAAATTATTCGTAGCGAAATCATATATTTAAAATTATTGTTAATAATTAAAATTCATAAATTCGTTTCGGCTGATATTCAGCCTTTTTCAGTATGTATAATTTATAATGTACAATATTAAATTATGTCAGGTCAATTAAAGATTAAAAGAGAGCTAAATATAATTTAACTAAGTCATAATGAATTTCGCTGTTAATTTAAGATACAATGTTGAATTCGAATATCGGCTAAATATTAGAAACATTTATGAATTTTAATTGTTAACAATGATTTTAAATATATGATTTCGCTACGAATAACTTGTGTTTGGCTGTTTGATTATTGTATGCCTATTTGATTATTGTTTATACGGATTAATCTATTATTTACTTCTATATTTTTTAAAAAATGTAGATTTGTAATAGAGGAATATGAGATAAATTGTAACTTCCGTTTTACGGATTACAATGAACCTCTATGTCACGAATTTTTATATCAAATCGATTTGTTTGAAACTTTGTTCTCGGAAATTTTCGGGTTGCTGATTACAAATCAGTGTATCATGGAACAAGTCAATCATAAAATGGATTCCAATTCAGTTATTTCCTAGATTTTTATTGTATTTTCTAGAGAAAACGGAATAATTCCAATCAAAATTCCGATATGTTTCATGATAGATATCCAGAATTCAAAATAGTTGATTCAATATAGTGAACCAATTAATTCAAATAATTTTTAATAAAATATTTAATATTTCAAAAACAATAGAAGTCCCAACGTGGTTAAATTTAAAACAATATGATTAAAAATCATACATCACGAGCGTAAGATGTTAGTGGCTAAATTTTATATTTTAATAGATTACAATAAATTAAGAACAATACAATAAAATAGACGTTTCGATCTTATATCAAACCATCTTCAGTATTACAAAATTAATATATGTGTAACTTTCATACATGCTGAACAAACTGACTTCGACTAAATTTTATTCATCTTATAATAATGAGATTAAATATTCAATGCTTGATTACAATTTTATTTTCGAAGAGATAGATCATGTTAAATATTCCAAATGCTAATTGTCATTTTTCTCACAAAGATTAGTCAAATTTATTGAAATACATAATTTCCAGATTTTGTGTTAATAATAAGTTGTGTCGTGAAATCTAATCTCTCATTTGAGATATTATGTTTTCAGCTCTATTAGTAGTAAATTATTAGTAGTAAATTAATAGTAAATAATTTTCCAAGGCTTGAATTCCATAACTGGCAAAAACGACAATTGGCATCTGGAGTATTTAACATGACATGATGGAGTATATAACATCTATCTCTTCGAAAATAAAATTGTAATCAAGCATTGAATATTTAATCTCATTATTATAAGGTGAATAAAATTTAGTCGAAGTCAGTTGTTCTTAGCATGTATGAAAATTACAACACATATATTAATTTTGTAATACTGAAGATGGCCTAATATAAGAAACGTCTATTTTATTGTATTGTTCTTAATTTATTATAATCTATTAAAATATAAAATTTAGCCACTAACATCTTGCGCTCGTGGTGTATGCCTTTTTAATCATATTGATTTAGTATTTCATTATTTATAAAAATAATTTAGCAAGAAACAGGTTGTAATAATGATGGAAGATACGATTTCAATATATTTCTGAAATGGGGATACTTCTAGCTCAGGCACGCGACCAGCTGCTATGATTTAAGCAATAGAATCGGCTGTGGAATCTGTTTTTTATTTTCCGTTATTTCGGTTCTGTCACTTTTGATATTCGGAAATCTTGATTTTAGATTCAGATGCAACGACCAAATTATGATTCTTTTTTTAAACTACATTTTTAAAATACTTATTCATGTTCTACGGACTCCATAAAAACAGAAAGAATCGATACTTAATATCAAGAAATTCATCAAAATAATTAAAAATTAAGTGAAAAAAGGTAGAACCCTGGGAGTCCCGTCGTGACGCAAAGAATTAATTATAAATTACTGTAATTATTAATTGTTTCATAAATCTTTTTCAAATAAATAATAAAACTGATATATAAGAGTCAGATGTGGAAATTATTGCGCATTAGTTAATAAAATAAGTTTAATACGTACGTGCACTAAATAAAATAATATTTAATGATTACATGCTTCAGCTTATGTTTTGAGCTTTCTTCAGATCACAATTATTAACAATCATAATCTATTTATGGGTCATGATAAGTTACTTCTAATTCATTGATCGACCACATGATCACATGCTCACACATGATTAAATGGCCATTTGGCAAGAATCTCTGGTTGTACTAGAGATTTTTAGTTAATCCATGCAAGTGAAAATTAACAAAATATTTAAAACTGAAAATAACTTATCCTCAAGGACCCAAGCAATAAACTGCAAAAATATCAGTAAAGTCAAAATATGTTTGCAACTGCAAAAAAATATCAGTAAAGTCAAATTATCAGATATTTTGTTTAGTGTACATTTGTATTAAACTTATTTTATTGACTAATTTTGCGCAACAATCTCCATCTGACTCCCGTGTCCATTTTACTATTTATTTATTTCAATCATCAGGAGTCCATTATTACAAATCGTTTTCTCACCATTGTTTGTAAATTAATACCACCTTTGTCCTTCTTTTTGAAGGTTATATTTGGTGGCTGTTTATTCAATCGGAGACCAAAACCTTCCAATTCGTGTTCAATCAGTCGCTTATGTCCGAGTGGTTTGAGCACATCTAAAACGATGAAGATTAAGCTGCATGTTCGTGCCACGGCAATGACTTGTCGTCCACGTCCCTTGCCATCTTTTGCGCCTTCTATAATACCTGGAAGATCTAACAACTGCAAGATGCATTCTATTATAATCTTACTTGATTTTATTATCATATACACGCAGAGAAAAAATTAGCCAATGCAGCTAAAATATAGCTGTAGCAGTTAAAATATGTTCTTATAAAAGGGACGTTGCTGCCAAAGCTCAATTTATTATTCGCTAAAATTTAGGTGCTGCAGCAAAAAAGATTCTCTGCTAGAGTAAAATGGCAACCGCAGCGTCCTAGAAACAATTGCGAACGAAATATTCTGTTACATGGTTAAGATAGTGAGGAATAACTGCCACTTACTTAGCTACTTATGTTAAGTATGCATTTAACTATTATAATAAAGTTAGATGTTGGCAGCAAATGTATTTTATCTTCAATAACAAACTTTTAGCAATAATACACGCAAAAAAAAGGATTTAGTAATATCAGCTAAATAGCAGTTGCTGATTCAAATTTTGCTATTATTGCTAAAAGTTGGCGATTTATTCTCTAGTACGATTAATTGTAATATAATACGTGTAAGAATAAAGACGCTTCTTGCAGGCAGCGTGTATAAACAATAATAAAATTTTATTAAGATGAACATGAAATTAAATACTAAGCATATTCAAGCACATAATGATTAAAGCTAGATTAAAGATCTTTTCATGCCTAAATAATTCACAGTAAATTATCTATATTCTATATGTTCATGCATATATATTATATTTTTGTAGTTATTCAAACTGCGCGTCGAAATTTTTCCGGCGAAGAATTACTAAGGCCTCGATGGTCTAATGACTTAGAAATATAAGAGATCCGGATTCAAGTTCCGGCCGAGGTAATATTTTTTGCAATAATTATTTAAGATTTTCAGCACATTAACATATAATATGATACTGAATCGAAAATTGAGAATTTGCTTGTCAATTTAATTTAACTTGTGATATTATTGCAGTAGTTTAATTGCATTTGAAAGTCCGGAAGAAAGATAAGATAAAAATATAAAATATATTATAAGCCTTTTTTATGTATGCCTTCTTATATTTTTATTACAATACATAACATAAATTGATAATATGCTTTATTATAATTTTATTTTTTATTCAGATTTAATACATATTTAATTTAATGAGACGAAACGAATGAATGGAGATTGGATTGGATTGCTTATACGCGTGTACAAAATCCTTCTTATCTTTGTCTCATTAATTAAGCACGCTTCATCTTGCAATATAGATTTGGTAATTATGGCAGTGTTTAGAAATATATTGAAATGTAGCATTAAAATATATAATATATGTGTAAATTATAGACTTTGAATACTACAGAGAAGAGAAATAATGTTAAATTAACAGTAATTCTAATTAAAAATAACTTTGTTAATTTACAGTATTAATGCAACAAACGTCATCATTCTCTTGTTTTAAAAAATATTATTTCATCGCAATAAATATCGTAAATTAATCATCAAAAACAATCTACAAATCAAATTTATTAAAGATTGTATTAAACGTAAGATCATACCACAACACTTAAATAAATTGACAAATTTTAATGTTGATTTTCATCATCACAAATCAACTAAAAAATTCACACGTTATAAAGAATCCTTTGTACAAAAAACACTCAATATTGAACTCAACACACATAGAAATAATCATTTCTGTAGAATGCAAGTCTTCCATCTTGCTAACAGTTTACAACATCATTTACCTGTAAAAATTTGTGACGAGTTTCTAAACACAGAGAGAGAAATCTTTTTATTTTCTTTTTATCAAAGAGAAAAAAAAGATTAGAATAAAAAATTAAATGGTTGTCTGAAAAACAATTAAAATTAAACATTAAAAACATTAAACCTATAAATTTTATAGTAACAACGTTTATGTGATTTACAAAGGATGACATCTGCATCTTTAATAGATTTTAATGGTGAAAAAGGACTATCCAGATAATAACATATCTGCTTCCTTGTCCTGTCACAATATTTTCTCATCAGATTACCATCTCAGCCTGACATTATTATAAACAAAGTTTCTTCTTCCATAGAAACAATATATCCGAATTCCTTCTTTAACCTTCCAGACGCGCAAGTGTTCTCCATACACGTACGCCGGTTTTATGAAGGAGACAGGTAAAATCTGAGAGTCCCTAGAATTACCAGAGTCTGGCCATCCCTCCATCCTCTCTTGTGATTGACATTATCATCATGTGATTCACATAATGGCAGTAATGATAGGACACACAAAGTAATAAAGGTGCGTTCAGCATTGCAAATCAGAGGCATCCGCATCTTTCTGCTAAAGCGTCTGCGTTCGGTATTAATATTTCTAGAGCTCAATCGAGGTACTCGATCCACTCCGGATTCAAAGACTGAGCTAATGCAGATTTTCGCGCCTAAATTAAATTCATAACCTGTATATTTATATGATAATGTATCCAACTGATTCGTTAACACATAACATTCATCTCTTTTAATACTTCTATTTTACAAATAGTGTATTTAAACTGTTATAATGTCTGAGTGTATAAACGCTCAAATATTATCAAATAGAAATTGAATATATTATGTACAATATATATGGAGTATATTACGTACAATTTAATGTGGACATTTAATGAGGAAAGTAAATTTTTAATTCTTTTTTTCTTTATGAACTACATTTGAAAACAAAGAAGCTAGTTTTTGCTAGTTAATTTTTAAATTAATTATATTGCACATATAAAACGAAATAAAATCAAACTAATTAATATATTAAAGACTTTAACGAATATAAATCAAGTAATATAACTTATAAATTTCAAATTGCTGAAATTTATTTTGCAATGTAGCATTTTCTTTTAAGAAAACACACCTTGCGTATGAATTTGCTACAGTCATGTGTAACGATCTATTTTTAGTAGGTATATAAGACTATTATCAATTTTTAATAAAGCGAAAGAAATTTTCAATAGGGTATTTTTTATTTATTTTATAAAAATAAACAATTTCATTTTATAATCTAACCTTAAAGTTTATAGCTCTGTATCGTTCGGAATTCATTCTTGGCATTCGGATTGGCACTCGATCATGTGCTCAAGCTCGCCATCTGTTAGCTCACATCTCAGATTTACATTGCCGAACGCATTTAAAAAGTCAAACTCAAGTAGCCGGTCATGAAAAAAGTGGGCTCGAAACATGATATCGGAAAATCGTCACGTGGTCACGTGGTCACGGGTCACACGTACACACACACACACACACACACACACACACACACACACACACACACACACACACACACACACACGCACGTACGCGCACACGCACACACACACACACACACACACACACACACACACACACACACATATATGCGATGACATTAAAGCAGGTCCCAATTTTCCATGGGTTTTCTGACATCGTGTTTCGAATTCACTTTCAGACCTCGAGTTTGATCTCCTTCTTATTACTCCGTGAACAATATCAAGAACAATACCATCGAGAACATTCATATCATCAATTGAGAGTAAATACACATTTTGGATATGCACGCCATTTTTAGGGCCAGACTTTGGTAATTCTAGGGACTCTAATAAAATCCATTTTCTGGGTCTCGGCTTCCTAACGCATTCCTTTAGTGTCTTCGGGCCAAGTTTTGCGCATTCGAGCGGGTCGGACGTATGTTTCGTCTCGCTTCAGGTGTTACATCACTTCAATCATATTTTTTAAAAAGCGTGGCCGGCTTCGACTGTGCATTGCATTACATCACCGATAGTCCCTTTATTCATCTCTTTATTCGCGAGTCCGTGCGGCGCCGAAGCGTCATAGTCGCAGGCGTCCAATGTCTAGAGGGACGCTTTCCATTTTTGCTTTGATTACACTACCCTTTTTTGTTACTTCTGCTCGGTTTGAAGTGGCCGAGGGTGCATAGTATTCCGATTTTCAAATTTGTTTTTACTATCTCGATTTGAATAAGATTAGCCACGTTAATTCGGTTACATTTGGGTCACTCAAATATAGAAGAAGAAGTTTTTCGAGCCATCGATTCACTCAGGGCCTCTATTTTTGAAAAGTATCCCAACGAAATACTATAGTATGCGTTACATATACTATAGCATTTTCTTAGTTTCTCATATGCGATACTTTTCAAGAATAAGGGGCCCAGATCGCTTAATTTCTGAGATGTTAAATATCAAAAACCAAAGAAAATCTCAATTTTCAAACCATCGAGGATCTTCACAAAGCATATATATCTATTATATATCTATTATATATCTATTATAAACAAAATATATACATATATATATCTATTATAAACAAAATTTGACTTTATTCTTATCAAATTGTTTTGTCAATCTATTAGTCCTCAGATAGTAACAGTCTGTCGTGCCGTTAACATAACGTTCAAATAATATCTTTGGATGATTCGATCTTTGCATAAAATTAATTTTGTTTTCATACTGACTGTGAAGTATATTTATCGTCACTATCTGACTGACATATTTGTCATTATATTCTATACATTTTTACATAATGATTTTGACGAAGTATTCATCCTATGAAACAATAACTGCGACGGTGAATGTTTCATCGAGATGATGTTGTTACTTTTAACAGAATATAAAAGACAATTTTTCTAATAGAATTTTATTTTATCAAATTATTTATCTACCCAGATAGCAAAATATCTGCAGTCTTCTAGCAGACTGTCAACAGGTTCGAGCAAAAAATAACGGCAATCTGTCAACTGCATCCGCATTAGGCTTATGTTCTATTAACATCGCCAGTCAATATAATATGAAGGCAAATGTGTTGGCAGAACTGAGCAGATCCTACCGATCTGACACTTGCAGATTCTGTTTTTTCTAGCAATCTGTCAACAATATTATATTACATTGTCAACAATATTACATTGTACATCTAATTCTGTTGTTGTTTTGTTGGCACAGTAGCAGACATTTAAAAAATCTGCTTTCTACGGACTTGGTTATCTAGGTAATTATCGGTGAACGAATTTTGTCTTTCTGATCAGAACATCATGAAATTCCGTAACATCTAATCGTTTGTGAGTAACTGACGTCTTCCATTCATTAAGATCGCACAAATCTACACAAATTGGAACATATCACTTCATGTTTTTTATCTCTTTGACGATGATAACTAATGTAAGATGTAAAGAGGATAATATCTGAAGATAGCTCAATATAGGAACCGAAACATGTAATAATATCTCTGTTTTCTATTATGTATTTAATTCCTATTAATAATTTTTATACGTTTACATTTTAAGGAATCGACTCTTATTTGTCTGTTTCATCCTATATTGTTATTTAATTTTTAAAAATCCTCGTTTTATATTATTATTTATTTCATTGATACTGTTATTAAATGAATAACTTTTAAATAAATTGTTGTTGACAAATGCTGTTAATACAACATTTTTTTCGTGTATCAATATATTTTTTAACGCAATAGCTAATATAAAAGTACTCCTGTATCAAATTAGCTGGAATAGTTAAAATCACTTAGCATTAGCAACGAATATTGATATATGATATATGATCAATGAAATAAATAATAATATAAAAGTACTCCTGTATCAAATCTGATAGTTGGAATAGTTAAAATCACTTAACACTAGCAACGAAACATATACAGAGATGTTCCATTTTAATATCCCACTCCAAAGAACTTTTTTATTTTTGATCTTAAAAAAAAATGTTTCAGACAAAAGTTGTATAGCTTTCAAGAGGACATAAGATGGCGTCATTAGTTTGACCTTGAATAGTTACTTGAAAGTCACGTGAAGGTTATCTTCAATTTCTTAAATGGAAATCTCTTTTTTATTGCATGTTCTTGTATCTCGAGAGCTTCCCAAAATACTATAAGTTTATTTTCATCAAATATTTTTCGAATTATAAGGCTTGCAAGTTACAGCACCGCTGGCATTACTCAAGGTGTCTGACCGACGGATAAAGTCTCTTGAATGTTGTTCAGAATCATGATCTGGATAACATTTGTCAAGGTCATTGAAAATTGTTCTTATTTTTATTTTGCACTAAAAATTACATTTTTATATAAAAATAAGAGGTACAACCTCTAATGACATTGAGCTTGACAAATATTATCCAGATCATGATCTTGAATAACATTCAAGAGGTCTTTAGTCTACAAGAATATGCAATAAAAAATAGAAGGCATTTAAGAAATTGCAGGTAATCTTCATGTAATTTTCAAATAACTCTTCAAGATCAAACTAATAATAACATCATCTTACGTCTCCCTCAAAGCTATACAACTTTTGTCTAAAATATTTTTTCTAAGATCAAAAAGTTATTTAGAGTGGGACATTAAAATAGGACACCTTGTGTCATACAATGTCAGCTAAGATTCTTAATCTTGCTGCAAATATTATTAGTTTTTGTTGCAAAAAGAAATTAACTTAATATACAATATTTAGTTGAACATCATTTTACTGTAGCAGCGAATATTTTTCGTTGCAGTACCTAAATTTTAACAGATAATAAATTGAGCTTTGGCAGCAACATTAGCTGTCCTTATTATAAGGACATATTTTAACTGCCACAGCTATATTTAGCTGCGTTGACTAGTCTTTTTTCTACGTGTAGCAAAGTTTAAATCAGCAATATAATAATATTTAACTGATATTAGTGCTGATATTAGCTGATATTAATATTTAGCATCCTTTTTTGTATGTACATTATTAACTTCAAATTCCAATTTAAACTGAGAAATATTAAAAGACAAATTACCTTGAAGATAAATTACCTTAATTATATACAAAGTATCTCTGTGTTAAACTGCTACAGCAGCCTCAGCATATGAAAACAAGTCTAATAAACATATGTTCGATTTCGAATGGTTTTAGAATTACAAGATATTGAGATAAGGAAACTGAATCGTAGTAAATGTTGTTTAATGTTCATTATTTTGAATCCTGAATTTTTTTCTGATAGACTAGATCTTTCCCAAAATTCTCTGTTAAAGTATGGACTAGAATTCTTGCTAATCATATAATTAACCATATAATTAAGTCTTTCAGGCTGCCTTCTTATTTACAGGAAACGCTTATTTGCACTTTTTGAGCAATGACCCATTAGCACTGTTGGAGGATGTAGATCTTTTAACTCGAAGAAACATAGTTCATGCAGAGCACCGTCTCACTTTACATATTCTGTGCGAATGTTTCTCCATGATCACTATCCTTATTAAATTGGAAGAAGACGCTCCTATTAAATGGTTAGTGAGAAGTCCCGATCTCACATCACTGGATTTTTTTCTTTGGGACGAATGAAAGATTTAGTCTATCAGAATGAGATTCAGAATGCAGAATTATAGCCACTAATACTTACTGTCAATATCATCCGCAAAATTCCAAATATTTATCATCAAGTCCGAAACAATTTATTAATTCGTGCTAGAAAGTATATCAAAGTCGACGAAGAAATTTTTGAATCTTTTATAAAACATTAAATAGAATAATAACATTTACTAGAATTCACATTTTCTTACTTCAATATCCCATAACTTTGAAACCGTTTGGAATCAGACATATATTTATTAGACATTTTCAATTTATTTTTATGTGCAAAACCATTGTAACAGTTTTGGCTATATACAGAGACAATCTAAATACGTAACTATAATTCATTGCAGATTTACCTGTATTTTTGCACCTTTATATTTTATACAACCAGGAACAGTTGTGAGTGTTGTGAACTCATACTCAGCTACTTCGGAATATACGCCAGCGAGTGTACTCAACAATGTAGATTTTCCCACAGAAGGAAAACCTGTAAATTTAATTTAAAAAAATTGGAAAAAATCATGCATAGAAACATAGAATGTAGTATACAATTCATAAGATGTTGATATTCCAAAAGATTTTATGCTACACAGTTCAAGGAACATTGATCTAATATATACCGTTCGAAACTTAATTCAAAAGCTAAATGCTTTCTCCATCACTTTGTTGAGAAACAAAGAGAAAACAATAATATAAAGTATAAACATAATATAAAAGCTATAGCACAGATTTTTGCATAATGTTGTACTGCAGCCTTAAGCCTTGAGTTTATGATACTAGAAATTATATACTCCGAGATTTCAGACCAAGATAGAATTGATCAATTGTATTGGTAATTTTTGATCGAATTATTTAGAGGTGATTTTGTTAATTTTTTCCTTCCCTCAATCTTGGAACAATTTTTAGTATCATTAATATAAGACCCTGTGCACAATGGAAATATTAAGAATAGGAATAAATATTAAGATTTCAATCTATTAGAAACTGTACTCCGGTATAATTGATATCTGATAGGTTGAAATCTTAATATTTATTTCTGTTCCTAATATTTGTTCTATTATGCGCCTAAGAGTTAAAATAGATTAGAGTTCAATTTGGATTTTAAAGCTTTCAATTTCTTTTTTAGATCTAATAAATAATAAAGACAGAATGATGATTATAAGTATTTAGTCCAGTATTTAGTCTACAATAGTTTTAAGCCTTAAGCCATAAGAAATTAATCAATTATCCTGCAAATATAATAAATATAATAAGCCTTAATGAGATCTTAAAGTCGTCCTGTTTTACGATTATGTTTTAGGAGAAATCTCCTTGGCTTCACGGATTGCAAAATTTTTTTACAGAATTCATATAATAATAGAATAAAGAAATAGAAAAAAGAATAAAGAATGCATAAAAAAGAAATTCTGAAAAACACGATTTCACGAGAAAATCAGAAAAAAATTTTTAAATTTACTTTTTCTGGAACGTGCAACTGTCACCAGAGATTAACATTGGCTGTGTTCAGTAGAGAAAGCAACTTTGCAACTGTTGTAAAATTTTTGAACATGATTAGTTTATACATTTAGATGTGAGAAACTAAGGCTAGAATCAATCGTATTAAAGAATTTTACAACAATTGCAAAACTATTTTTTCTGCTGAATGCAGCCATTGCTTGATATAAAAGTTTTATTTACAGATTAAAAATAAGCATGTGATGGGATTCAGATTACTTGAATGAACAATATTTTTATGGAATTAAGATTCAAAGAATATAGAATAAAATATTTCTCCTAAAATGAAATTACATTCTTTGCAAGGACTGACTTTTTATCTCTTTTATAGATTCGAAAACTTTTTTTCCAAGATTAAAGTATATACATTAATATGTATCTGTAAGATGGAATTTATTCCAAAAACGATAAAAAAGTTCTAAATTAAAATCTTAAAAAAAATTTTATATCATTCTCAGCTTAAACTCCATCTTACAAACACGTACTAATATGTATACTTTAATCCTGGATAAGGATTTTCAAATTGGTAAAAGGAAAAAAATTGTTATACAAAAATTATGATTAATCAGTAATACAGATAGCTTTAGGATCCCTTTAAACTTTAAAAAAATTGATCAATCACAATTGAATGTGAGAAGAACAATCTAACATGATTGGTTAATTCCTTAGACTTACTATTCTATTGTGTTTGCAGAGTTAATCAAATGCAAGAAAAATAATTGATAATGATTCGTGCATTTTTTACAGCTTAATATTTAAAAACCTATTATAGATCTAGACAAAGCACACGAGCATTCAAATCAAACATCACTAGAGTTTTAAACAAGCCTGTTTAATGACATTGGTTGAATTCAGTGCTCATGCACTGTATAAACTTAGAATATCTTTAGCACTTATTACTTGCAGAAGAAAGTTAGAATGAAACTTACAACACGTGAATTTATCAAACAAATATAGAAATATACAGCTATAATAGAGTATAAAATTATGATGTGATTGGAAGAGACTCACCGACAAAGCCAATACGAGCATCACCAGTTTTAGCGACTTCAAAACCTTGCTCGCCACCTCCACCACCACCCTTTGGAGTGATTAGCTCACGTCTGAGCTTGGCTAGTTTTGCCTTCAGCAAACCTAAATGTCCAGAAGTTGCTTTATTCTTCTGAGTACGAGCCATCTGGAAGAGGAAAACATGATGAGTGATAATACTGCAAAGGGATAACCTATTGTGAACCATACGCGACACAATATAACAGAGATTACCTCAGCCTCGATTGAGGCAATTTTTTCCAAGATCGTGCTCATTTTTGGATCTGCTCAAAACGATATCCAATAAATTGTTCAGTCGAGGTCTCCTATCACATTATTAAAGAAGAGTGTAGCAACGCAATCCGATATATCACTGGCTACACATTCGCGCGTCCGTATGTAATTCTGTAAGGAGGAATAAACTCCCACACAAACCCCTCTCTCAGCAACTCCATGATCACAGTATATAGAGTAACGCAACTCTCTGTCGACATCCTTAATATTATACGTGTTGGCCAAAATGGAGTGCGCATGCGTGAAATAAGTAAGTTATCTAGCATTGCCATGGTTATTACCTAAACTTCTTTCTCTTTTCATCCTTTTTCACTCTGTCAAAATTCCTTGCAAAACTCACTAGATTTATTTGCATCGCATTCCAATGAATGCATTGGAGTAAGAGCTATTGTAGTAGCATATTGGAGCATATTAGAGCACGCGACGCGAATAAATCTACTATTGCAATGAAATAATTTAAACTTTATGAAAATTAATAAAAATAAATTGAAATATATTGAAAAATAAAAATATAAAGAAAAAATATATAGAAAAATTAAGAAAAATATTAAATTAACTTCTCAGCAAACGAGAATGGATTGAAATGAAATGAAATGGATTTAGATTTTCAGAAATATTAATTCACAAATGTTAAAGTGAATGCTTTTCAATTCTAAATGCATTTTTGTTCATTTATAGGAATTGCATGAAGGCATCTCTATGCCTTTCAATCTAAAAATAATATTAGCTTTTTTTGTGCACGACACACATTGTGAATACTGTTCAATTCAAAGTTTTGAATAGGAAATGCAGTTTTTCAATTGCATCCAATTGCAGTTTTTCAATTGCATCTAATTAAATCCAATTAAATTCAAAAAAAAGTATTCGCTATTTAAAATACGTATTCAGATAGAAACAAATTTCAATCCATTTTAATTTATTCTCGTTTCCTGGATTATAAATGTATATTTGTATAAAGAAATATTATGTAATTATATATGCTATGAAAATATTATGAGAAAGCTGATATAAAAGAAATTTACGTATATGTCCAAAAATAAGTTTAAAATACAATAAATAAAAAGTAATCTTTGTTGCTCGGTTTTTTATGTTACTGTTGTTTACTTTTTCACTTTACAATAGAGTCTCTCTAAATTTGACTTCTGTAATTTTTGCATTCCTCATACGTATAATACTTTTACAAACACTAATGTCATGCTCCTTCCATGCCATAGTAGGTTGGACATGTTGCACGCATCTGCACCTAATTGTACTAAGTTCTCACAATATGTGCAATATAATTGCATAGGCAGATTATGTATAAAGGCTTAAACACAATAGGTACAGCAACAAGAAATAACGAGCCGTCCAATCAAAGTTCTGGAGTGTAAATTCGATATTATATCCCAGAGCTCTGATTGGCTCGTTATTCCCTGTTGTCTGTACCTATTGCCTGTGCCTATTGTGTTTAAGCCTTAATTATTTGTGTAATGTATTCTTTTGTGATACATAATATGTAATACATATGACTTGTTCTGTTAAGGTTATGTACATTTTGACTGTAGTGCACTTTGACAGATTAGCATGCGCAAATGCGTTCGCGCAAGTACGCGGTGATTGGTAGACTCGTGCTGTAGAGAGGATACTCTATAATTTTGGCATTCCACTTTTATCACCATAACCAAATTTATTCACAGTCCTTCCTTATTTTAAAGATGGAGGAGCCTCCATAAAAGATTCCGCGATTCCCAAGGCCTCCTTGTTTCATAAACAGATCTCAAGTCTGCCTTCCCGAAGGAATATTTTAGGGATTTTAGTAACCTACTGAGGGTAGCGTAATATATAGTATATGCATACCTAATATCGTAAGGATAGCATAATATATAGTATATGTATACCTAATATCGTAAATTATTTATAATAAAGATAAATATATAAAGGCATTGTTGATTAAATAAGGTCGTGATTAAGCATTGTTTGCAACAATAATGGACAAAAATAAAATAGTGAATTTGATTGGATGCACTCATTGCTCACTGATGCACATTAAAATCATCGTACACAAAATAATGTAAATTTTTATGTTTATAAATAAACATAGAAATCGATTAAATTGTGAAATATTCAATACATTTTATTGTACTGTTAGATAAAATATGTATTTTATAATTCGAAATGTTTGCATTTTATTTTTATACTCAAATTAGTGTACAACAACTTTAATATGCATCAGTGCTTCCATCGAATTCGCTATAATGCTTATTATAAGGAGAAAATGCTTTTAGACGAATTTATTTCCGAAAAAAAGTTATCAAAAATAATTATCAATGCAATTATCAGATTTAAATTAAAAGCTATCGAAAGTAAAAAGAAAGTGTAACGAATTAAATTTGGAGATTTGCTTGGTTATGAAGGCTACTCTCTTCAAGGAAACTCGTAACCTTGAGAAAAGGAAGCTAATAAGGCTCCTTGTTTGGTCAAGCTGGGTCAAGCTTATGAAACATGAGGGAAAACAAGGAATCCTCAAGGAAGGACTATGAATACAAGTATTAGAGAGACTCTACTATACTTATTTCACGCATGCGCACTCTATTTTGACCAACAAAATCAGGAGAGCACTACTATATATACTGTGCTTATACTGTGACATCAGTTGAATCAATCGTTTGAAAGTGTAATGTTTAGTGAATAAATGGATTGAAGTTAAATTGATATACAAGTTTCTTTTACCCTAAACATTCTCTGTGCTATACTCTGTGCTATAATCTGCAAATTCATCCTTAAAAATTCAAATTCTATAGTGATTACTTTACATAAGTTTGTTTGAAAAATTCTACAAAATGGAATCAAATGATCTTTTGAAATATTATTACATATTTAAAAAGATTACTACAATAGAAATATTTTGGAATTTGTTTTACCTTTTGTTTTAGCGTGTAGCCTACAATGAATGATATAGAACGTTTTATAAGAGTTATGCAAGAAAAAAGGTTGGCTAATCAGCGTGAATTAGAATGTCTTGATGAAGAGTCTAGTGAACATAAAGAATTAATGAAGGAATTGCGAGACTTGAGAAGTAAGCTATTTCAGATTATTTTTAATTGGAATGAATTGTTTTGTTATTGAAAAACTTTGCAGTTATATAAGGCATAAATCTATTGTTCATAGGGGAGACAGAACAATGCAAGGAAAACATCACAAAACATCTCAATATGATAACATCACACAAACATTCTGTACATAAAATAGTACATTCTACAAGCAATATTTCAGGCTTACCTGTATCACATGATTATGCACAGTATATATGAATCTTATATATTTTTTATTAAAAAAAATTATATATATA